TCGTTACTGCACTGCCAGTCCTGACTTCTGCTTCTCGTCTGAACCTGCCTTTGGATTTCCCCTTAATCTGTACTGGCACTTCTGGTTTTTGCCTCTCCCTGTGCCATCTCCTCCAACTGGGCTCCAACTCCTGTTAAACTGTTACATAAGTCCCCAGGTGACTGTTACACAATGTTACACAGGTTGCTTGAACTTTATCTACAAGTTCTGCTGTGTACTACTTATAAGAAGAAATGGCATCCCAGTGCTTGCCACTAATTGTAGCACACACAGGATAACTGGTCCCAAGCTCTTAAAGGAAGATATAACAGATAGTCTTTCTGTTAGGGTGCCTAACTCTACCCAGTGTTATTTGCCCACTATTCCAGCATGGTGCATCATTCTAGCATCCATTTTGTCACAACGAACTCTGCCTATGCATTGATGGTGGAAATTATAACAATCTCACTTCGGATGTGAAGCCATCAGGTCTACACAAATGGAATGCTCTGTATTAGTCCCTCAATTTGGCGCCTGATTATTTATGTTGCATGTCTTTCCATAATGAAAATTGATGTAGAAAGCTATGACCATACTTGCTTATATAGCTGTAGCGGACCACATGTAACCCAATTGGTTACCTCCACTAATTCCTTCCTTCAGCCACTGTGGAACCATTAAAACAAGCAGACATCCATTCCCCCAGTATGACATCCATTAACCAGATGAAACATAGCTCTGGGAGTCAACTGACTTTATTCAGGCCACACAGGCTTTTATGCCCAGGCCCCTACACAGGGCTTACAATGTAATAAAACAGGGGTTTCAATCCCAAGATCCTCTGTGCTTGAGAGATAATTGCATGAGAAAAACCTCTATTCCAATTATCTCTCAGGTACAGAAAATCCATACAAAATATACAATACCCCAAAAGTGCTCCCACCATACTCAGGAACCCCACAAAAAGTACATTCCCGGATAGCCCCAATCTGAGTGTATAACATATTCAAATATCACTCAGATTGTTTTGGTGAAATGGGAATGCCTTCGAAGTAAAGTTTTGAACAGCCAGACACGAGGTGCTAGCCCAAAATAGTTCCAGGAAAATAGGTGCCTTGGCTGGTCTTTGTTCGTGGGGTTCCTGTGCGAACACCAAGCAAGGGAATCTCTTCATTTCAGGATATGAATGCTCCCCCTGTTCGGTAGTTCATATCTCCTGAACGTCGTTCATTTAGGTGGATGGGAAATAGAATGGTTTCACACTTGCTGGTGTGAATGTTCTAATGGTGTACAGGGGTGGTCCTTGTTTGGGAGACAAATGAATTCTGTTTGTATGAAGTACTCCCGAAAGGAAAAGGGGTAAAACAAATGAAATACAGGAAAACACACAAATAGGTGATAAATTCTGCCACAATAGCACTGCATCATTTCGGCATCAATCACCAACCAGTTATAGTGCCATTATGATGACATCAGAAGCTCAGACAACTAGGAGGTCTGTGCTCTGCCATGGTCTGTACTAGCCTGAGAGTGTGTTCATTATTGTTTGATTTTCTGATATTTGACTTTTGGCTTGTCTTGACTATCCTGAACTCCAGTTCTGACCTTGAGCTTGTCCTTTGACAATTCTCTTACTTTATTACATAAAGTCCGGCCAGTGTAAGGACTGGAAATATGTACTGTCCTGTTTACTGTTCTATATTTGTGTTTTAGGAACCTGACATTACAACAGGGCCGTGAACCCAGTGGATATAAGACAGCAATTGGACTACTATAAGTCCTACATGTTGGAAATGGATCATAGAATGGACCAGTTTGCCCAAGCCCTGCAGTCTATTCTAACTAGGACTGCATGCTTGCAGCCTGAAGGTCAAGGTACATCTCAGTCTCCTGGCAATTCAGTATTTGCACCTCCTGTCTCTCCCTAAGTCCATTTTACACTGCCTCTTAGGTGTAATGGAGATCTTACTCAATGTAGAGAGTTTCTGAACAAGACAGGAGTGCATCTTACGAATGTCTCACAGGTCCTTTCCCTCAGACAGAGCCAAAGTTTTATCATGATCCTTCAGTCTGACAAGGCTTTGGCTAGGATTAACCCCTTATGGGAAAATAATTATCCCATAGTTTTTTACTAGCAAGAGTTCATAATTGTATTAGGAGAACAATTGATCTAATCTGATGATCTGATCCTATCAGGATGCTCAAAGTGCTTCTTCGAATAAAACACAGAAATAGATCAGTTGTAGATTATCCTGTAGAATTTTGTTTCCTGGCAGCAGAAGTTATATGGTATAACACCACCCTAACTATTGTGTTTATTGAGAGCTTGTCAAATGAGTTATAGGATGAAGTAGCAGCCAGAGAACTAACTGAGAGACAGCAGGACTCATCACCAGAGCTTCCTCTATAAGAAAGGTAACATGTCATCAAAGTGGTATACAGGGAGTGCAGAATTATTAGGCAAGTTGTATTTTTGAGGATTAATTTTATTATTGAACAACAACCATGTTCTCAATGAACCCAAAAAACTCATTAATATCAAAGCTGAATATTTTTGGAAGTAGTTTTTAGTTTGTTTTTAGTTATAGCTATGTTAGGGGGATATCTGTGTGTGCAGGTGACTATTACTGTGCATAATTATTAGGCAACTTAACAAAAAACAAATATATACCCATTTCAATTATTTATTATTACCAGTGAAACCAATATAACATCTCAACATTCACAAATATACATTTCTGACATTCAAAAACAAAACAAAAACAAATCAGTGACCAATATAGCCACCTTTCTTTGCAAGGACACTCAAAAGCCTGCCATCCATGGATTCTGTCAGTGTTTTGATCTGTTCACCATCAACATTGCGTGCAGCAGCAACCACAGCCTCCCAGACACTGTTCAGAGAGGTGTACTGTTTTCCCTCCTTGTAAATCTCACATTTGATGATGGACCACAGGTTCTCAATGGGGTTCAGATCAGGTGAACAAGGAGGCCATGTCATTAGATTTTCTTCTTTTATACCCTTTCTTGCCAGCCACGCTGTGGAGTACTTGGACGCGTGTGATGGAGCATTGTCCTGCATGCAAATCATGTTTTTCTTGAAGGATGCAGACTTCTTCCTGTACCACTGCTTGAAGAAGGTGTCTTCCAGGAACTGGCAGTAGGACTGGGAGTTGAGCTTGACTCCATCCTCAACCCGAAAAGGCCCCACAAGCTCATCTTTGATGATACCAGCCCAAACCAGTACTCCACCTCCACCTTGCTGGCGTCTGAGTCGGACTGGAGCTCTCTGCCCTTTACCAATCCAGCCACGGGCCCATCCATCTGGCCCATCAAGACTCACTCTCATTTCATCAGTCCATAAAACCTTAGAAAAATCAGTCTTGAGATATTTCTTGGCCCAGTCTTGACGTTTCAGCTTGTGTGTCTTGTTCAGTGGTGGTCGTCTTTCAGCCTTTCTTACCTTGGCCATGTCTCTGAGTATTGCACACCTTGTGCTTTTGGGCACTCCAGTGATGTTGCAGCTCTGAAATATGGCCAAACTGGTGGCAAGTGGCATCGTGGCAGCTGCACGCTTGACTTTTCTCAGTTCATGGGCAGTTATTTTGCGCCTTGGTTTTTCCACACGCTTCTTGCGACCCTGTTGACTATTTTGAATGAAACGCTTGATTGTTCGATGATCACGCTTCAGAAGCTTTGCAATTTTAAGAGTGCTGCATCCCTCTGCAAGATATCTCACTATTTTTGACTTTTCTGAGCCTGTCAAGTCCTTCTTTTGACCCATTTTGCCAAAGGAAAGGAAGTTGCCTAATAATTATGCACACCTGATATAGGGTGTTGATGTCATTAGACCACACCCCTTCTCATTACAGAGATGCACATCACCTAATATGCTTAATTGGTAGTAGGCTTTCGAGCCTATACAGCTTGGAGTAAGACAACATGCATAAAGAGGATGATGTGGTCAAAATACTCATTTGCCTAATAATTCTGCACTCCCTGTACATTTTTGAGCTTCCTTTCTCAGAGTGGTCACATGCTCATCAAATTGGAATACATTATTGAGCTTCCTCTATCAAAGAGGTCATAAGTTCATCAAATTGGGATTCATTACTGAGTTTCTTCTAACACAGAGATCACATGCACATTCAATTGGCAATGGTTACTGAACTACCTATCCCAGGTCACATGCTTATCCAATGCGGTACTTGTTATTGAATTTCCTCTGTCACATAGGTTCAGTATTTTTTATTAAGCTTCCTATTTCACAGAGATCTCCAACTTGTATTTGGTACTGTTCTTCGTTGATAACATAGGTCATGTGCTCATCAGTTTGATATTTAATTTTAAGCTTCTTCTATCCCAAAGGTCAAGCGCTCATCAAATAGATTACTGACCTTCCTCTATCACAGAAGTCAAATTAGTATTTGTTTCTGGGTTACCTCTATCTCAGAGATAGCACTCTTATTAAAGTGATATTTGCTGCTGAGCATCTTGTCATGGAGGTAACACTCATTAAATTGGTACAGTTATTAAGCTTTGTCACAACATTCACATTCTCACCAATACTGGTACGTGGTAACAAAGCTTCCACTAATTACGGAGCATACATGCTTATCAAATTTAAACAGATGAGCCTCTCCTGTGACAGATCACACTCTTGCTGTAGCGTCAGGCACCTTTTTCATTAGCTAACATACAGTCTTCGGCTTTTTCTTGCCACCTTAACTTACACACCTCTGATTGTATGGTTGCTTTTTCTCAAAGTGGTTTATGTTTCACTTTACCCCAGATATTCTAGTTTTATACCTTCAAACACAACATTCTAAAATACCAATGTTCTAAAGTCCATGTGTTGTTGAAAATCAGCAGATCAGGCCTGATATATTCCTTCACCTGCACAAGAGAAACATTATAGATTCTGTAACTTGGCTAGGTAATTGGGGTTTCAAATTTATATCATATTGTATCTCAAATATGCCAATTTTGACCCCCTTATTTACAGTTCTGGAACATTTCAACTGACTTTGCCTTAGAAAGCAAGGTCAAGTACAGCCTTTATCCCCAACCAAAAATGTTCACGCTGATAGACCTGGAGTTGTGGGATGGGTTACCCAGCCTTTAAAATTCCCAAGGCTTATACCTCGAGATCGTGGGCATTCTGTACAAAACCTCACCCTCCAACTCTTAGGTCTAACCAACATTGCCTTAGGTTGTAGGATCAATTACGACATTTGTCCTTGACCAAAAAAAAAAAAACCCCAAACAATTTCATATATATATATATATATATTACATGGCCTTGTAAAATGTTAACAGCAAAAAGTTTTGATAGGTGCTTTTTATGCCCATTGACATGCAAACTGTGTGGATACCTTATGAACAACATTTATTAATTAATTATAAGGCATCACATTTTTATTTTCCCAGGTAGGGGTATCAAGATAAGTGAGACTTGCCTTTCAGAGCGCTCTGATTGGAAGTCAACCAATCAGAGAGTTCTGACTAAAATTGCAGAGAATGGGAACTGACAGTGGGGCTCTCATGGATTGATTATTGATTTTTTTTAAATTTGCAATCTTGTTTTTATTTTAACAGTAGTGACGGGATCTGATGGTAAGAATTTTAATGTTGAAGAACTCATCCACTGGCAATGGATAAGCCATTATATTTGATTCATAAGTCGAATGTGGCAGCTGACCAGTACTTGCTAGATGGCTGCTAGATTAAATGTAAATAAACAAACAAAAAAAGCTTATGGGCTCAATACTTTCATTGCCCAGAATTGCATTCATTGGCTGTGAACAGTAAAGTGATGCTCTCAGCCAATGAATGACGCAGTCCATGGCTTCCTGCTTGTGCAGCTCTGGACCATCAGGTACGAGCCTTAATAATTTTAAAATCTGGCTAACCATCCCACAACTCCAGGCCTATCAGCCTGAACATTTGTGGTTGGGGACAGAGGCTGTACTTGACCCTGCTTCCTAAGGCAAAATCAGTTAAAATGTGCTGGAACAGTTTGTCGGGTTAGGACTGCATATAAAGAGGTCAAAATTGTCATCTTATATGTGACTCTACATACTGGACTGTGGCAAGATAAACATTTGTAGATGATTTATCAAAGCAAACAGGTGCAATTTTTGCTGTAAAGTGCTCAATGTTAAAGAGACATACTTTTGGTTTCCATGGTAATTTCCCCTTATTTAGCACCTTTCTGTTTTTTATTATAAGACAAGAGGATGTCATAATTGTATGCAAGTTTTATATACCACAAAGACAGAAACAATGTCTGTTTTTTTGTTTTAAATATACATTCTTGAAAACTATACATATCAAGGGCAGTTCTATAGGATAATGTTTGTTATTTGTAGTCTATTTATTTTATTAATCTTATTTTTCTGTTTATAAATTAATAATTCATTTTGCTCCAGTACTATAAATTTTACTTAAACAGTTAATTTGTGCAAAACAATATGATGCTAGTTATGTTGTAACATGAGTTAAGTGTCATGAAAAATAATTTCTCTGTTGATCTCAGCATTTTCTTACAATTAATTTAGAATAAATGTTTATGCTCTATTTAGAACTACAATACCCATTGATTCTACCTGTGCCAGGTAGGTTGATACATGTAACATACTGCATAGTTGACGGTGTTATTTTTAATTTTGTATTTTTCTTTAAAATATTTTAATAGATGCAAAGATATATATTAATCAAATAGATTTGAAGGCACTTTATACAAGGAGGGATAGCAATAATGTACACAACATATGAGTTGATTATGCAGTGAACACTTAGTAAAATAAAATGAAAACAATTATGTATTATAAGATGCTTAAAATATCGCTAGAATGCACATTTGTCCTAGAAGAAAGCATTTTGTGAAAATGTTTAGATATGCTCAAATAGTAGAATTTTTTCCTTGCAAGCTTAATTGCCTGCAAAATATTACAACATAGGCAGATGGGAGAAGCAATGATCTCAGGTAATATATGGAACAAAATAAAATAAGAGACTGGAGGAGTATATGATACACTTTGGAAAAATAAGCCTTGTTATCGTGAAACATGTTAGTTCTACATTTAATGCTTTATGTTATTGTTCTATAGCGGTTTTTATATAAGAATAACGATAGATTATTTATTTAAAGCTCCTAGACCCTTCTGTGTTTTATTCAGTTGAATCTGGAAATCATTTTCAATGGTGGGGAATATCACATGACCTGTATGGGTTCAGCAAAACTTACTTTGCTTTACTACTGTAAGTAGTTTCCATTTATTTGCATTCACCTATACCACAGTGTGCACTATATTTCTTACATATATACAACATGGAGTAGAATTGCATCTATCTGTAATCCTAGAGTGTGGATTATGCCACTCCACGCTATATTTTAGGAGCCATTGTAGAGGCTCCATTTTATGTAAGTGCAATTTCATTCTATTATACTCTATACTATTCGAATATACTACAATATATGGTCATTGTTTGTTTTTATCTAATACATCCTGGATTACCAATTGGGATCAATGGACACAATAAGCATCCTTAAGCGGGGATTGTACTGCTCACTTGCATAGAAGTGGAGCTCTTGATAGCTCCAACCACCTGTGAGTGCATTTCTTTCTTCATTTTCCACATTGTGAAAAATACTTCACCATGTACTCTTTCATTTTTTTAATCTTTGTTTTGTTCCATATACTACCTTGGAACACTGCAAGGAGCTACTCCCATCTTCCTATACATGTAACAGATACTTTGGACTGCCTTTTCTACCTTACCAACACATCCCAAGTGCTCAGCCTTCCTATATTCACAAAATATTACATCATCATAAGAAATGCCCTGAAAAGTAAAAGTGTAAATTGCACATTTGAGCCAGTTGGAAACTTCAATACAATTTCAAAAAGATATTTAAGAGAAAGTTGCACAGCGATCATACAAGTTATTACATTTAAATTTGTAAATGTAGATTATGGGCTTCTGTTGTTTCAATTTACTATCCAAATCCTTTTAATTTTGAATGTGGCATCAAACAAATTCATGTTTATGCAGCACATGAACTCCTATCATTCATATGAATGGCAAAGCAATAAAGAACATATGATTAATCTTTGCGGAAATCGGATATTTTGTTTTCCATAATTTGCAGGTTAAGTCATAATTATATTTTTCATTGTAAGTTCATAAAGTAGCTGAAGAGAAACAAGCTGAACTGTGCCAGTGTTTTAGACTTAGGTCCTAAACAAAGAAAAACGTGGCCTGCATTTGACTTCTTAGAGGAACACATGGAGAAAATACATCCTCCTTATGTCTGAAGATTGAGGCAGCTTTTCATCAAGATGCAAGTACTCTTAAAGCCTGCAAAATAAGAAAAGAAAATACATGACACAATTCTTTTAAATTCCACTCATCTATTTTAGATTCCATAAACGTATTCCCTCTCAATCTGTTCTCCATTCTTTCTGGTATCTTTGTTTTATAGACTTGCATGGCACGATTGTTAGGATCTTCCAAACAAAATTTTCAGAGTTGAAAATTTTGTTTGCAGTGTCCGACTCTCAGCAACGTGACAGCTCCCTTTCATTGAATTTTGTTGGGTAAAACTGATTCGTTCAACTGATTGTCCAACCACAATAAACATTAAAAAAAAAAACTAGGTCCATGGAGGTCTAAATGACCTCCATTTATAAAATGTCCCCACGAGTAGCATGATGCAGGTGAGGACGTGTCTGCTAAACAGTGAATAGCCAGCAGCTGCTCGCTGTCATTAAAAATAGCGACTGAGCAGCTACTCCTGCTAACAAATGCAATCCTTGGTGGGGGCTATAATAATCAATGGGGGTGGACTCCAATTGCGTGATTGGAAGGTGAACATGTCATTGTCAACCCCAAGTTATGGGCAATTGCCCCTTCCGGTTGACTAGAGGCCCAAACTCCTAACCACCCACCAGGATTACAAAAATGTACTTATCCCCCTCTCCCTGATAACAGTGAAGGGCCTGTTACATCTAATATCTGCAAAAAAATAAATTTATACTTTAGATGCCTTTTTTTTTCTTAAATATTCTTTTTTCATCCTCACAAAAGGCCAAACTGATAAGACTATTAAAAATAAAATTTGCAGAAAAAACAAATATCACGGTGCATAAAAATAAAAATCCATCCCCACCCATGCAGGGTTCTGTGCAGAATGAACTTGCAAAGCGGGGAAACCACTTGCGTGATGCAAACTCACTCAGCGCTCTCTAATTGGATGGCTTGTAAGTCAACCAATCAGAGTGCTTTGATTAAGCTTGCATAGGGTGGAAAAGCCCTTATTGTATTTCCCATGCAGTGCTGGCTAAGTCAGAGTACTTAGATTGAAATGAAATAGCAAGGCCTTATAGGGGCTTTTCTCACATTATGCATGCTAAGTATGCATAGAGACATTCATGGGATGGATTTTTTTTTTTGTTTTTCCAATTTTTATTTTTTTTACCATAAGGGGCTGGCCACAATTGGAGACATGGGGTGAACACTATTTCTCCCCCAGTATTATTATTTAAGTAGAGCTCCCCCATTGAGGCATTGGGACACAAACACTATGTTCCCTCTGCTTAATTTTTTTTAACTGATAGCCCCACAGTGGGGGCATGTGCGACTGGTCAGTGATCTGTCTATCTCCTGTTTTTTAAATTGAAGATTTAAATTGAATTCACACAAGTTGGAGGGTGTATGTTACTAACACTGACTGCTTGCTGTTTAGCATACCTGTTGCAAATTGTATCATGGTGGGTGAGGGCATGGGAACGTATAAAACCAAATGTGGGGGGTGAGAGTGACCACCACTGACACTACTAGTGCTACCAGTGTTTAAATTGTTAACCTAAAATACAGTT